AGAGTTTGTCCCCCTCACTCCACTATTTCCACTTGTGTGATCACATTTTTTTCTTTCATGTAACATACTCATAGGCAAATGTGAAAAACCAAGTAAGAGACTTGGGTTTTCTTGTTCTCAAATGTTTTAATGATTTCTGCAGAGTACTTCCTCACAAAGACAGAAACACGGAAGTCCTATTGCACCTTAATTCTTTCAACTTCACACAAAAAATGCACAGATTTCCTAAAGGTTACCTATTTGCCTCCGTCTGTCTTTCAAAAATATATCCCTCAATACTATCACTTGCCCAGTGTTTTCAGTTCACTGAGAATTATTTATATGCAAAAGATACCTGTTTTGTTTTGTTTTTTTAATTGCTTTTGATATAGACACAATGAATGTGTTGAGCACTGTATTGAATCATTTTTCATAAGCTGTGTCCTGGCATTAAAAGATTGCTGCTTAAATGTTGACAGTGAGGAAAAACAGCACCAAATTGAATGAAAAACAATTAAGTGAGTAAGAAGGAATTAAGGTTTTGTTTGAGTATTTACCAGCAGAATTATGGAAGGCAATGCTTACATCAACTTGCCCAGTATATTTTGCTGTATGTGTCAAGCCAAGAGGGATGGAAACTTTGCCTCTGGTGGGTGGCATCTCTTTCAAAAACTGGAAAAGCTGTCCATACAGGTCTGGGAAAATGGGTATTTTTAAGGAGCTCAGACATGAATCACCTTACTTCTGGGAGTTTCAGTCTGAATAAATTAACTCTTCTAAGTTTGTTATCTATTATGAAGAAGGTGCTGGACAGTCCCCAAATGGGAAAAGATATCACTATAGTCCCCATATCATCTTTACTATACATGAGAGGAATGTTTTGCAGGGATTGAGTCCCCTTCCACACAGCTATATAAAATCAACATTGAACTGGAGTATATGGCAGTGAAGATTCAGATGACCCAGTTCAAAGCAGATCATGCCTTGATATTCTGGTTATATGGCTGTGTGTAAGGGCCCTGAGGAATCTTGTTGGTCTTCCAAAGGAACATAGAGAGCTATATATAATCTCACTGCCTTTATTTTATCTTGTTAAAAAATTATAAAATGTCAGTGATTGAAATTTTTCATACTGCATGACTTTTAGGAAAAATAAGATATTTTAGTGGGGGAAAAAGATTTGGGATACATCTGCATTCTAAAATTAATACTGGGTTCACAGCACTTGGCCAAAGCTGCAAGGCTTTGCAATGCTAATCAAGGTGATTAACTGCAACATTCACACTTGCCTCCATCAGACAAGAGTTCTTTCTCCTACCCTGGACCTTCCACAGATATATAAACCTCCCTTGCTTAGTTTCCAATATACCTCACAACCTCTGAGGATACCTTCCATGGATTTGGGTGAAACGTCAGGAGAGAATGATTCTGGAACATGGCCATACAGCCCGTAAAACTCACAGCAAGCCAATAATAATAATAACAAAGTATGGATCGTCAATGTCGCAATCCAAGGTGACAGCAGGATTGCAGAGAAACAGCTGGAAAAGCTGACACAATATGAGGATTTAAAGATCGAACTGCAAAGACACTGACACAAGCCAGTAAAGGTGATCCCAGTGGTGATCGGCACACTGGGTGCAGTGCCTAAAGACCTTTGCCAGCACTTAAACACAACCGGTGCTGACAAAATTACCATCTGCCATCTGCAGAAGGCCACCTTACTGGGATCTGCATGCATTATTCGCCGATACATCACATAGTCCTAGCCAGCAGAGTGTCTGCTGTGGACTCATCTTGTTGTGTTTCAAATAATAATAATAATAATCCAGTCTTTCTCAGTTTTTCATCCTCCAATACTTTGGACTTCGCTTCCCAGAACTCTAACCAGCATAGCCAAGGGTTAAGAATTTCAAGAAGAGAAGTTCCAAAAGCTGAAGAATCAAAGTTTGAGAACCGTTGTTATAAACCTTCTAAGCAAAAAACAAAAGAAAGAGGAAAGGAAAGAAAAAAAAACCCACTTCAGCACCAGAGACCTTTTAGATATTTCCCAAATACATGATTTCTTCCAGTAGACATGGTCTTGCATCATATATTTGGGTTACTTAGTATTTGCATGCAGTATTATGCATTAATATTGCTGTGCAACTTTGTGTTGATACTGATGACACTGAATGGAAAACCAAACATGAAACCAAATATACATGTATACTAGGCATGGTTAGGTTCAGTCGGAATCTTCGTAATTTGGAATACATTAGGAAAGATTTACTTTTTGAAGCGATTTCGAAGTTTTTAAAGAAACCGAATGTCCCTTTGCCCTTCCGAACCTTTTTCTGCCATTTCTGTTACGAAGCAGTAAGGGAGTCGGAAATTATTCAGCATTTCCCCGCTTCTCTTCCCTGGCCTCGGATCAAGCATGGGAAGCCGTGTTAAAACAGAATGGATTTATTTCCCCTCCCTCCTTTCCCCTTGAATTCTGCCTGGATCCTGGGAAGTCATGTTTAACCACCGTGGATGAATTTCCTCACTTTGCTGTCCCTCCTGCTTCAGTCTTACACCAGAGAAGCTATTTTAAACCAGCATGGATGAATTTACTGACTTTGCTGTCCCTCCTGCTTCAGTCTTACACTAGAGAAGCCTGTTAAACCAGTGTGTATGAATTTCCTTGCTTTGTTGTCCTTCCTGCTTCAGTCTTACAGTAGAGAAGCCGTTTTAAACCAGCATGGATGAATTACCTCCCTTTGCTCCCCCCCCCCCCCCCGCTTTCTGGAGTAAAACAACTACTTTAAAAGTAAAGACCACCCAATGAAACAGGAAATAACACTTTCAAACCATTATTCAGAATTTGGAAGTCTCGGAAGTTTTAAAAAGTTTTGAACATTTTTTTCTATGAAAATTGGAATTGATTTCTGAATCGAACCACCAGTGCCCCCTACATCCAAAACAGGTTTTGAACCTTTATTTTTTATCAAACAAGCCTAATGTATATCATTGTACTATGTGTGTTGCATGCACAATGACATTTCATGTGTATCTTCAGTTTTACAACAAACTGAATGTAGACTTTCTGCATTGGACAAAAATGTTTAAATGCTTCTGTATGCATAACAAATGGGACTCTGAGCATGATTTTTTTTACTCATTCACCATTTAAAATATCAGTAATTACTGTTACCATCCAATTGTGTGTGCATGCTTCAATTTGGTGCTGGAATAAAGCTGGGTTGGTGACAGTTAAGCCTGAAGGGGAAGGGTATCCCACAAGTGGAGTGCCACTGCAGGGAAGGCCATCACTTATTGTATGTACACTTATGTATAAATATAAAGATTTTAGTCAAAAATCCAGCCAAAAATCTAGGTTGATTTATCCATAAGCCAGACAAGTACAGGTAGTCCCTGAGTTATAAACATCTACATTACAAATGATTCATAGTTAAGAACCGGAGTGTGACAACAGGAAGTGAGAAAATTCTACCCCTAGGAAGGGAAATCCATTCCTGAAAGAGTTATCATGGGGGAAACGATGTCTCTACAGAAGCTTTATTACCAATCTTTGTTTCCACAACAAGCCACAATTTTCAAAATCCAATTATCACAGGGGCAAAAAGTGAGGTAAAATCTTCTGAACTGGGGCACAGACAGCAAAACAAATACCACAGGAATCCTTCCCTATGCTAACCAAAGCTAAAATTACTGTTTTGCCTGGCACTACACCTAAAAAATATACTTGTTAAAAGTTACATACAACTTCAGCTTAAGAACAAACTTACATAACCTACCTTCATTTTAACTTGGGAACTGCTTGTACTTAGCCCTTATCAAAACAGGAATTATATCTGAGTAGTGAAAACAAGTGAGAGCTTAGTCCACCCTGGGAGAACTTAAGAGAAAGAACAACCCCCATCATTTTTTCCCCCACTTTTTGAATGATTCAGCTGGGAAATGGTAGTAGTTGCAGCCAGCCATGGCTGACCCCTGAAGTTGTGCTGGCAGTTTCCCCTTTCCACAGAATGGCCCTTGACTTATCCATGGGATATATCAAAATCCCTAATTTTGTACTCCAAACCTGCCCTCAACTTATACATGAGGTCGACTTATACATGAGCATGTATAATACATCTTGCACTCCTAATGGTGGGTTGCATGTGAAGATAGTCCTCAGGCAACTGTGTGTAGGGAAGGCCATATTTTCAAGGTCACATATCACTTTCACATATCACATATCACTTTCATGAGGTCGACTTATACATGAGCATATATAATACATCTTGCACTCCTAATGGTGAAGAAAGTCCTCAGGCAACGATGTATAGGGAATGGCATATTTTCAAGGTCATATATCACTTTCAGCTTGAAATGCTTTCACCAATAACTTGAATTCAAACTGGAAATATCTTGACAGCCCCCACAATTCATGTGAGGTCAGTGCTATTAGTGTACACATACATATGCACACACACACTTTTAATTTTATGACAGTATTATAGAACAGATTTCCCGGTAGGTCGAATGCTACTAATCATGTTCCAAACATTTTAATATTACCTTGTTTGCTGTATCCCCTTGATGACCCCCAAGAGCCTCACACAGGATGAAAGTCAGTTGCAACACATCCTCTTCTTCTTTATATCTCTCTACGCTGTGTGCAAAATGACTTTTACTAGGGAAGAAATCAATAAGCAGGAAATAGTAAAAAGGGAATAAAAGAGCTATTAAATGTCAGTTACAAAAGGGTATATTACCTAATGCTGTTTTGCCGATACCATTTCCATATCCTATGTGGGCAATAAAAAAAGGTGTTGATCTAAGGTGGAAAATATTTCTGCTTTCTGGTTGAAATCAGCCAGAACAGATGTATTGTAAAAGGACTGGACAGCTTCTTTTAAATTTCAGGAATAAAAATGAGAGCTTAGCATAAAAGAGAAGCTGTACGGGAAGGAGGGGAAGAGAAATCGGTACAGACAGTAATATCAAGAACTTGCTTTCCCTGAATCTAAATTACTGTATTATATTAACAGACCTGGGGAATTTCAGTGGCCGGACAAGAAGTGCTGTGTCGGTGAGGGAAGGTCAAGGCGTAGTTCTGATGTGCTCTCCTCCACTTCATTCACCAGGTACAGTCAGTTACATTTTGTTTTGATACAACTCTTACTTGATATGCATACAACTTCTTGAGCTGTGCTATTGAAAATGGTTCATTCAAGATTAGACAAGGCACTGAACAGGTCCATTATCCATTTCTCATCATCCCCACAGTGAGAATAGCAGTAGCTGCATATGCTGTTTTCCTTCCAAATCACAGAAACTGTCCCAAATAGTATGAATCCTACCCCATTCACTGAGGTTAGCAGCACAGGACCCTGTTTAAGTAAAAAATCAGAAATAAAGAAATTGCTATTCCTTTTATTTAAGAAAACACATGTCTAGGATTTTCTTCTACTGATAGTTAACCAACCATAGAATCACATTCACAGAACTAGAAAGTCCTAGAGAGGTCCTAGACAGGTGTTCTCTCTAATAATCTCTATGCCCTTGAGGATGACTGGAGAAAGTTGATCATAGAGTCATATTGGAAGACTTCCAATGTATAGAAAGAACATTTTTAATGAAATCCATGAACAATCAAACTTGCAAAAGTCAAATCTGCAAATGTAGCAGGATGATTGTAATACAAGACTTAAGTAAAACTTGTGAAGTCTTGGCTCTGCCTTTTCCTCTCCTCTGCTTTAGTTCCCGCTGTTTATAGGCCTTCCCAATAGTGTAGACACCATCTTTTGTATTAGTTCTTAAAATCCACCAAGAGGCCAGTCTTAGCTGGTCTATTCCATTTCCCTGTATAGAGGTCTTGCAGGACTCCTCCTTTTTTCTTCAGCAGAGCTACAAAGATTGTCTGGTATCCTAGGCCCAAGCAATCAAAATAGGCATTTTTAGCACCTACATTTAGTAGTATAATTATACTAGCAGTCTAAAGGACAACAGAAGCTTAAAACCAGTTTAAGCTTCACAGAAAAGTAGATTAAGACAGTTTATAAGCAACAACTGGTAATCCATTGCTTTGCATCAGAGGCAGAAGATCCTAGAGAGATGACTGCAACCAGCAAAATCTCCTTTTGTAATGTATTGTTTTAAGTTACCCTATGATAGTCCCAGGTGGAGTTAACCCTTTATTTATCTTGTTTCAGTAAATTCATTGCGTTATCTTTTCACCTTGCCTAAAGTGCCTCTGTCTGCTAAGGGTCTTTATCTTAACAGAAGGTATCGGATAGCTCCTGAGTAAAGGCGGACAATATAGTTTTCCCAAAAGCTTAGGCATGCCATCACAAAACTACTTGGTTCACTGCTGAGTGCCATTTGCTTGGGAACAACAATAGAGAAGACTATTCTTGCCCTATTTGTACCCTGGGGATTTCCAGAGACATTTTCAGTTATTTCGGGTAAAAGGATCTTAGATTTTGGACAGATGGGCCTTTGATCTACATATTAATTTTTTGATACAAATGTAAAAGAGTACAGTTTTAGTATCCATTATCCAAAATGCTTGGAGCCAGAAATGTTTGGGATTTGGGATTATATATTTGTCTATTTATGGATTTGAAAATACCTTATTTGCATGTATGATATGTCCATAATATGATATTTTGGAGATGTTTTTATTATTTCTTGTAAGCTTTTTAAATTCCATTTCTTGTCATAGCATACTGGGGTTTTTTTAAAGACTTAAAAGCCTTATGGATCAAATCACTGTTCTGTTTAGATGCATAAGATTGTATGCTCTTGACTGTCCCATACTTATCAAATAATACATGGGCCCCCTACTCCCACCCCCAGTCATTGCATCACACCTGTCTCAGTGTCTCTTCACAATGAGCCAACTCCTGTCTTTCTCAGAGTGAATGGAATGGCATAAAAGAAGGATTTTTAGGTGTTTAACTAAAGCTGCTTCTACACAGCCACATAATCTGGATGAATGTGGATTACAGAAATCCAGTTCCACTCCAGAGACTCTCTACACACACTCTAGGAAACACGAAAAAGCTCCTGCAGCATCCGCAAAGCTTTCCTCATACCCAATTGAGCCAACAGAATGATTTTTTTTTCTTTCCCCTTTGGAAGAAATGTGCTGAATTACAGCAGCCCATCTGATGAGCATCAGCAATGGAGCTCATCTTCCAACTCATAAACAAAGAAAGGGAAGGCATTTATTTTCCGGGAGGGAGAGAGAAGGTGTTTATCTTTCTGAGAGTGCCATATCTAGTTACTTTATCAGAATTTTCCAGAGGTGGCGCTGTTTACATGAGTTCTGTGCATGTTCCTCCTGAATTTCTGCTCTGCAGCATCTATACACTGATCAGCTGCAGCACATTTTGACAGTTTTGGGCTTTCTGCTGAGTTTTTAAAACATGTGCTTTCTATGTGGATGCACATTGCAGCATGAAGTAGGGGTATGGCATTTTCCTTCTATCCTTCTCCCTTATAATCCACATCATTTGGATTTTACAGCATGTGTAGATGAGATTTAAGTGTGTTTAGACTCATCCTCTTCCCTCTCCATCATGACTTGAGTTGTTTTGTGAAACAACATGTACATATTATAGATTAGCCTACCCCAAATGTGTTTAAATAAAGTACAGATTTTCACCTTAAAGAAATGAATAGGTCTGTAAGGTTCATCTCATTGATCTGGCCTTTTTCTAAATGGTCAGATGCTTCCAGGAAACTCAAACACACTCTCGTGTGCCTTTAAATTGTTTCCGACATCTGGAAAACTTAAGAAAATCCCTATCATGGGATTTTCTTGACAAGTTTTATTTAGAGAGGATTTACCTTTGATGTCCTCTGAGCCTGATAAAATGTTACTCCCTCCCCCCCCCCCCCCCCCCCCCCCCATACACACACACAGTGGGTTTTCGTGGCTAATCAGAGATTCAATCCTGATTTCTGGAGTCATATTCTGGCTTTAATATATGTACAAGCCCCCCAATGTTTCATAGATCAAAACTGGAAACATGTAACCTCAGAGTGTGTTCAAGAAAGCAAAAGTTATTCAGGAGGGTAAACACACAGAATAGGGATGGCTGCAGCAATTTGTTTTTTCCTGAGCTTATTGGAAAGGACAAAAATTGGAAAGGACAAAATTTCCCTCCTTCTCAGTTGCGTCAACCTATATTTGTCCCTGATCTCAGTTCACAGCAACTGAAAAAAAAAAATCAAGTGCACAAGAAAAAAGTAGTGGAGAGTTGTGAAGAAAGGTTCAGGAAAAGGAAATCAGGATCTACTAGAACAGTAGTTCCCAACCTTTGGGCCTCTAGGTGTTTTGGACTTCAACTTCCAGATTTCCCAGCCAGCTTACCAGCTGTTAGAAACTCTAGGAACTGAAGTCCAAAACACCTTGAGGCCCTAAGGCTGGGAACCACTGTACTAGAAGGATTTCTCACAGATCAGCAAGAGGTTTTGTATCCATAAGAAGACCTAGATTTGACCCTACCAATTGGCAGTGTGGATAACTACTTTAGCAATAAGATGTTGGTTATCATGCAAGAGCAGCAAATTGTTAATCTGTTATTGTTGCATGATTACTTCCAGAGATAGGAAATCAGCACTTGTGAGATTTTCTGTCTCATTTTCAAGAATAACTTGGCCAGCTCTGGTTGCTATGGCTCATGACTTTCTTTTTTGTTCTGCTTCTTGCAGAAAGAATTAAAAAAACTCACACATATTTACACAGAATGATAAAATTTCAGAGGCTGACAACCTGTATACTGTTGATCCAAATGAATAACACTTACCACATCTTGACCATTACAACTTCTTATGACACTGAACTCCATTTTATGTTTGTGTTGTGTGAAAATATGTCTATCAAATAAAATTTGCTTACTTCTCCATTTGAGATATGGTTAATGTTTGTGTTTTTGGCATTGCTAATTGAGTTTTATTGATCAGCTTTGAGGCTGCATATTTGACAGTGATGATAAATTTAGTCTGTTCTAATTAAATGAGAAAGGAAAACCTTTGGTTATTTTTAAACACTTTTCATTGATAGTCATCACTTCCCCCCATTTACCTACACAACTAAGTTCTGACCTTCCAGGTGGAAAGAGTTTTGGCTTTCAGAAACCAGACTGAACTTTTTGTCCTTGATGTAATTGGTATGCGAGATTTTTGCATCTATAGTACTACCTTTGTATCTATTTTCTATGGAAACAAGAAACTGTAAATAGTACTTAACCTATTGAAATGAACAACCTCTGCCGGAAGTTACCATAAAGTTATGCTGGAGAACCCTGGACAAGACTTTTAGACTCAGAAAACCCCATCATAGGGGGTAGAAGTGTGCAATTCAGCAAAAAGGCATGCCATTTTGGGGCCCATTGTTGGCTGACCCCTCATTTTCTGTACTGGGAAGTTACTCAAAAGGGAAGGAATGTTGTCATTTTCATTCTGCAAAGATTTGGCCCATTGGCTACAACAGGGAATTTTAAAGGCTCAATCCTCAGTCATTGTAAGGCCTATTTGCATGAAATCTATCTCGGTTTTAGTCCCCATTTACAACTGCAGGCCTGTCAAGTTTCAAAACAATGAACCAATCTAATGATTTTTTGGAATTATTTTAAATTTTAGCCGTAACATTTTTTAAAAAAATAAATAAGACAAACTGCAAGAGAGGGTTCTGGGAATTGTAGTTGTCGCTTGTGTCCATTCTCAGACAATCAGAGCATGGACACAACCAGGCTTTTTACTGGCTGAGAAACAGAGAGAGAGCAAGAGAAACACCATCTCCCATCATGCTTTGAGAGGAACTCAAAGACTTTTCAATATATGGAATCGAATTGTGCTTCTTTTGTGAGCTACCCTGAGTCCCCTTTGAGGTGAGAAGGATGGGATACAAATATAATAAATAAATAAAATGCTCACTCTATGTAAGGGCTGCTGGTAAAATAATTTCCTAGCAGGGCATCAGGGCCCTCTCTGGAGGAGGAGCCTAGGAAACGTTCCAAAAAAGAAATGGAGGGATGCAGCATCTGCTGGGAGGGAGAAAAGAAAAGATCCATGCCTTAGTTATGCAGACTTAACTCTTTCCGCTCGTGGAACCAATAAAATCTGGCTCCCTTAA